TGCAAACCGCAATGCCAAAAGGGAACTCAACATCGTCCTATATACGGCTCACAACTCATCGACCCTACACCCACCTATGGTTGGGAACCAGTTTAACCACACTTCGAGCATCTGCATTTTCTCTAGCTTTCTCAAGAAGCCCCGGCATGGAGCCCCAGCACTCACACAGAGTCAGGTGACTCAGTCTTGAACGATGCCATTCGTCTAATATTTGGTTCCATAAAACCCTTGCCAACAGAAAACCTTTCCATCCTGTATTCATGACTGCAAAACTTGCTCAGAACGGCCTTTATCCAGACAGCCTAGTGCCCTCCGTCTTTGATCCGCAAATTGGCAGCAGGCTCAACCACAAGCAGTTTGCCTCAGAAGCACTCCGCATCATCACCACTCATCCTCTTTCCCCATCATCATGGACTGGTAAAAGGAACCTTGGTCAACGTCCTCAACATGAATTCATTCAAACTCCATTCATTCATTCAGACCTACAGGCTGGGGTCTTCCTCGTAAGGGCTGGGTCCAACTCAATTGTCTCCAAACTGGTTTGGACCGTAGTGACTCATTCCTCCACAGAATCGGAGCTTTAATGTGTTTCAGTGTGGCAGACCACTAACCATCAACCACATCATTCATGACTGCCCTGACTTCAGACCATCGAAAGGCGAGGAAGGACTTATAGACCTCGCCAAAGACACCATCGGATACCAATTACCTATCTTACTATGATGTTCACCTTGGTGACCAAGGCTTGGTCGAGAGTTCATACGAAAGAAGAAGAAAAGTGTCATTGCGGTTCAACCCTGCTTAAACATGCCTCACTTTGGAGGTCTTTGGGATTGCAAGTTGAGATCGGCCAAGGGTGCTTCAAGGATGTCCTCTGAGATCGCCAAATTTCTGAACTGTAAATACTCCGGACGATGCTTTCTGAATGAGAGGGCATCTGAAATTCTAAGCCGTTAGGTTGTAATTTGTCTGAGTTTTTAAACGTGTCTCCATTGTATATGCGTGTAATGTTATGACTGGGCTATTGGGCACATCAGTGGATATTTTGGGGGAGAATTTACATGTTCTTATCTTTTTTATTGCAATCTCTTCTGGGTATCCTTCCGAACTTTGTCTAGTTCAGTAGATATGAATATGTGGGGAAAATACATGGTCATATATTCCTGTGTGGGCAATTTTCTGGGGGCAATATTAAATCAGGTTAATATGGAGGGACTTGTTCTCTGTTTTTCTAGATGTGGATTCATACTGGTTATAGGTGGCTTATGGGTTTTCAGTGTTGACATACTATTATGTTGGGGTAGACTTGTATTAGTCCTCAGGCTTCTTGCACGATAGACAAACGTTGTCAGTGTTTTGCTCTTTATCGAAAGGGATTATTAACGTACCAGTTGACCTGAAATGGTTGTTGTTATAGCCATTCATAGTAAGTTGAAATTACACATGCATAAACTTCTTCATTCATTCACTCATAATGACTTGATGAATTGGGCCCATCTGTCCAAAGCATAAACTAGAAATGGGATTAAGTACAATTTGCAAGAAAACGTGATATATTGTTGCAGATTATTAGCTATAGTGGTTTATTTCCTAACTCAAATGTATTTTGGATTGTTTGTTAACAGTTTCACACTGCTTCCATTAAAACGCCTAAAGTCAATTCCTGTCTCTGGCTACTTTGGGAGATTGTTTAACCTCTGCATAGCTATGTCAGTGCACAGTGAGAGCAGAAGAAACATGAAGTAGACTTGTTGGACCAAATTGTTGGAAATGTATAGTTTTTGACTTGTTTGGACTGTTTGACCGAAAAGTTACTTATATATGGGAATTAATAATGTGCTTGCCCGGTATTAAACAAAATGTTAAAGACCAGTTTGGAGATTGAATGCTCCAGCATCCAGACTCCACTGGTCTTAAACATAGTGTTTGAAACCGACCAAGCGCACCTCAATAATTTTCATGCCGTGCTTAGGACACTCGTCATTCCATTAATTTGAAATATGCGGGGAAGGGAGCTAAATTTAAATCCTCATCCAAAAGCCCTTATGCACGAGGTAGCCATTTTCGATCATGTTCCCTGACTGTATTTTATAAATCTAAATTGTTTAATGGGATGGTGCCAGACTATTTATGCGTTCCAAGTCTCACTTTCAATTTGTTTTAATGTGGCTTAAAAGGTAGGGTATGTTTAATTACACATTTTTAATTATTCATCAGAGCAGACTGGTATTTATTTGTGATGAACTTTAATTATTGCTGTCATTTCTATTCGCAAGCTCCCAAAAAGAAGATTTCACCTCGCTTTCAATTCATGGCCGACTCGTGAATAAAGCCCATAGGCTGGTAAGCGGGATTTTAAGGGAGATTAGGTAAATCAAGACATCTGATCGTGCACCTTGACAAAGGGTGTGTCACTGAAAGGTACTCTAGAGGGAGCTGTTCCAAATGCACGTATATATGTGGGGAATCGGAAAAAATCATTGAAGCTCCATACTAATTTTGTTATTATATGCGCCCCATACTTCTTCAGCCCCACGAAATGTAAACAATTGCCCCAATATGTATACATTTGGGACAAAACAGCTACCACGTTTTATAGTCAGTTCGACTATCGTTTACAGACGAATATAGGCCTTTTTGCATTGTCGGGCTGCGGTTTTCAAGCCTTTTATGCGCCTATCACTTGTTTTGAATTGAGCTGTAGGAGCTGTCCACCATATCCTTTTGTAGAACCTGATACTGGGGTATGTATCTGTATTGTATATATTTCGAAATCTAATTCTTAAAACAAACTTTAGTAATAGAAAATTGTGTAAAAAAATGCCCTAGCTCGTTAAGTTGTTTACTAATTGTAATTTCAGGGTTCTTCTTTTTCTTCATCATCATACATTACTAAGCCTTAAACACGTAAGAGCCCTGCACAATAAAGAATAAAGAAACTTAGGAGATGAGAAGAACTTATCATCCGTGTTTTAATTAACCGGCGAGGCCTGCCGACGAGGCGACCCTGCACTGATGTGTGGCTTCACCGCTACACATGGCTGCCTCCAAAGATAGTTGCAAAGATATTGAAAAATGTAGTGCTTTAGGTTGCTTTGAACCATAAATTGTTCTCTCATTTAAGGGAAAAACTTTTGAATCGGCTTGTTTTTCGCGCGACACCTAAATTTTAGTTTTAAATGATCTACCCAACCATTACCATCTTGTGGTCTAAAACGTTTAGAGCCCCGACCCCCCCCCCCACCTTTCCGAACACGTCGTATTCTAGAAAAAAAAGGCTCGAATTAGGCCAATTATTAAGTCCAATTATTGAAAGAAAATTTTGCATTTCAAAGATTGAAGCTTTAATGCGAAGAAAGTCATAGTTGTCACGCTCACCAAAGCGTTTCAGAGGGTTAACATTTTGAATCCAATCTCTCTTACCAACCTCGTTCTCATGGTGTCGAACAGTGTTGCAGTCGAGTCACCAGCGCAACGTCGAGTCCCGAGTTACAAACCTCGAGTCCGAGTCACGAGTCACTTGTTCTTAGTTGTTCACCAAACTAATCATTTTTTTTTAATTATTTTTTAATCATCCATTTTGTCTGTAGGCAGACACGCTTCGGTTCCAGACACTTTTTCGGCATGACACCGGGCCCTTAGGCTGGTGCTTGTCGTGCAGGCGCTAGGCGTGCGTGCGCGGCCCCCGGATACAATTTTCCGCGGCGCCGTGTTTTGTCTACGAGTAACAAATAATGCTACGTTCGTCGCACAAATATGGAACGTTGTGTTTGTTTCTTTTGATGAAAATACGCGACACGAATCACCAAGCTCGAGTCCGAGTCATCATGGTCGAGTCTGAGACCGAATCATTTTCCAATGTGATTCGATTCTAGTCCGAGTCACGAAAAATGTGACTCAAGTCCGAGTCCTGGACTCGAGTCCTACAACACGGTGTCGAATAGTACGTTCCCATCACTACCTGCTCTCTCAGTCTCACTCTGGTGTAACGATTAGTTATCTGATATGCTGATCTTCTTTCCGGACCAATTCCATGGATAATCGAGCACGTCACCATCACAAGCTCGGTTATCTGCGCAGGCTGGGCTTTCCGGTAAAGTCTGATGGGCAACGCGGGACGCATTTATACCGCGGTGTGAAGGGGAAGGGTTAGAAATACCGACACCATGTCCAATACAGAGAGGACCATGAGAGACTTCTCTCTTGAAAAGGGAGAAGGGATTTAAACCATTAGGAGCCATGGCTGCACGGCATTTGGTGAAGTGGAAGCTGCACATTATGGACATGTATTGGCAACAGCCTTCTTGTACAGACTCAGCACTCCCAGCACAAAGCTTGCAATGATAAACATTTTTTGTGCGAGGCTGCAGCGTCATTTTTTTTGTACCATTTAAAAACCTGGAATTGTAACTTTATCCTTGGCGAATATTGGTTTAATATTTAAAGAGTTTTGAATCGTTCAAATAAAGGCATGTCGAAAACAAACTCAACCGATTTCAAAGAAAATCGATGATGCGGTACATCAGATGCCAACTCGAGTCAACAAGCTGTTGGAATTACAAAAAAAGTTGATTTATATTACAAATACATCGCTCTTGAAACGAGGAACAAGATTGTGAATTAATATAAGGTGTACTCTACGTGGATTAAAAAGAACAGGAAACACGATAGGTAACGGACAACGAGATCTTAACATCATGAACGTAATGAAGCAAAAAATGCTAATGATTGATTTTCTTGAAATCGGTTGTGTTTGTTTTTGGCATGCCCTTTTTTGAACACAAATAATTTCAATACCAAAACTTACCAGGAATGAAGTTAAGATTCCAAGCTTTAAAATGATATAAAAAATAATGGGAGAACGTGTTTCCAAAAATGTTGCGGGCAGTTTGGGAGGCGCTGTACATCAGCCGTAACATCAGCACCAGCTTCCATTAAAAAGCCGCCTATCAGCGAACGCGCATGAACTCAATCCGAACACCATGTTTGTAATGTGCAGTTTTATTGTATTGAATTATTCACTGAAGTCATAACCGGCTTGGCAAATATTCAGAACAAATAGCCGCAGCTTTTACAGACGTTGTTAAAAACCCAACACATTTTTGCTATTGTGCATATCCTTTCACACCTCTGCAACGAGCTTTATCATTTAGTTTTTTGGAAATTATATCTGTGTAGTATTAACCGAAAAACCACATCCTCTTGAAACTAAGATATTGTTAACATACCTGCAAACAAATCCGAATGAAAAATCAATTACAGAAGATTATATCGAAAATAAACCCTAAAACTGATTCAACCGAACTGAGAAAAGAAATTACACTGGGTAAATCTTTGGGCTTTCAGGAAATGAATAATGCACATTGCTAAACCCGCGTTTTGTTTATTATTTTGCCGTTAAACAAACAAACTAATGTTTAGGCCCTACATGGACTGAATTTAATCAAAATGAAGCCTGCTGAATCTGTTTGTCTTAAAATCCTGTGATCGCAAGCCGTACCCCAATGCTCTTGAGGTCATTGGCTTGCGCTTGCTGACGTAGCATTTGGGAAAAAAACGTGTTTTCACAGTGACGGTTAAGTCCTAATTTGGCAGTTGCTCTTTTGAGCATCTGCAAATGTTCTGAATTAGTTAATGGGTGATGTACTGTCAAGCTCAATATAAACTTTTCCTTACTTTGCCTTTTACATAAATAGTTAAAGTTGAGACACTGACTTATCCACAAATAAAATACGAAAAAACGAATACCGAGACACTAATAATGTTAATGCGTCATGTTGAATATCAAGGCGGTCTGGTTTTATTTACTGCGGCAGGCATTTGGCCGAGCCAAGGCCGTCAATGCAATGAGAGGAGTTACAGTTGGCCGTATTGCACTCGTCAACATCTAAAGAAAAAAAATCAAAAGATAACATTGAATACGAGGACTTTATGCTCTATGTTTTCTGATAGGTTTTTCGTATGTTTTATCAGGCGTTACTTGAACACACTGGAAAGCCTGCAGAAAACTTGCATGTGGCAGGAGAATAAAACCTAGTGCTTCTTATCGAGTGATCCAACCACCATATGGGATGCTAATACTATTAAAGGTATCATTTACTCACCATGTAACAAAGTTCCAAAAAAATATCTTAAACTCCTTGTATTTTAGTTCAATCTTGTACAATTGCGATTGCAAGTACTGGATTTGTGAATTATTGAAATGATCATCAAGGTACTGAAAAGACTTCATCTCATTCCGCAAAGTAGTAAGGAAAACCAGGCTAAAACCAAAAGTACAACAGATTTCAAAGGCATCGGTCCACCCAGAATCAAACAAAATGCTGCTTCTCTAAGCATGCAGGAAGACCATTAAAACTGTTATGGGCAAGACCTGTCACCTGTCAATTCCGACAGTGGTTCAAGAAGTAGGTGAAACTTCATAAACGGAGGGAAAAGCGTAGGGAGGGATCTTCAAAACCAATAAGAATGGGGGTTACAAAGGTTTGCCTGGAATAACAAGAAGTTGCTTGGGGTTACAACCATTTTCCCTGGTTATAACAATTTGCAGGAGGTTAATTCAACAATTTATTTGGGGTTACAACAATTTACTAGAGGTAACAAGACTTTGCGTGGGATTACAACAATTTGCCTGGGGTTACAACAAGTTGCGATTGGTAACAACAAGTTGCCTTGGATTTAAACAATTAGCATGGGGTTCCGACAATTTGCAGGGCTACAAGTTGCATGGGGTTACAGCATAACCTCGTCTGAGCTTTTTCGAAATCAACCTTATGCACATAAAGACACACTACCACAATGCCACTTACTTACGTGTCAAATTTCATGAAAACGTTGTTTTATCGACAAGTTTGGGTCAGTTTCTCACGAAAAGACTCATAATTGCGAAAGCCAGCGTGTGACTGCTAGGTGCGGATACTCACTGCTTTGCACGGGGCGTTCGCCCCCTGACATGCAAAATAGACTCGTATACTTGACTTTCGCCGAGGCCATGGCTTAGATCGGCGGAGCTGCGAAATCACGAAGCGACTGGAGCAAAGATTAAGTCAACACACACGAGTGGCGAAGCCACGAGGCCTTTTCTAACTTGATTTTGTGGAATCATTCCTATTGTTTATACAAATAAGTAGAGTGTTGAAAGGTTAACCAATCATAACGTGGATTTTGCATAGTTGCTTCCATTTGTGAAAGAAGGGTGAGTAAGGAAAGCGTAAGAGCAACTTACTATAAGTTCGGATGAAAAAAATAGTTTATACACTCAAAATTTAATAATTTCTTGCAATACTTTAATTAGTAATATTAAAGTAAGATTATGAAAGAACAATTACGCGGTCATGATCTCGTGGAAAACTAGACTCGCATGTTTTGTTTTTAAATGTTGTGCAAGCAACCAGGCGCGTCGACGCGTCCGGGTAGTAGCCATGCACGCGTGTCCTAAAAGGCTAACGATTGGTTGGAATTTTAGGGTAGCAATTATCGAGATAATAAAGAAACACACAAGAAATTCTTGACAAGATTGGAAAAGCCTCCTGGCTTCCCCACTCGCGTGTGTGGTCTCCCGCTCCAGTCGCTTCCCCTTTTCGCTGCTTTGTCTGATGCCGACATGCAAGTTAAGCCACGATGGCCTTGGCGAAAGGTACTAGATATGAACTTGCTTTTAAGGGTGTTAGTCTCTTTGCTGATGATTTTTCAAATCATTTACCGATGAGGTCATGCAATCTTCGAGCGCCCTCTGGCGAAAGGTTGAAAATTTTCAAAAATGTTTTTTGAATAGATGTCTGTGGCGAAGTTTGTCGAAGTATATGATGACCTAGACCCACTTAAGACGTGTGGGAAGTTTTAGGCGTATGACGTCATTAGATCGGAAGTTCCGTTGAAAAGACCTTTTCTTTTTCAAAAATTGCTAACAAATCGATCCGTACAGATATAATCTTGAATTGCCCATTAAATGATAGCGTAAACATTTGCCTCAACAGTGCCAAGTTCCCAGCTTGTCAAATTGTTCACACAGTTGACACGGCGTCGGCAAAAAATAGCCTTGCGCGAGTTGCGGCAGAGAGAGTAAAAAATGCCGACTCATCCAAAGCAAGCATAAACCGCAAGTGTGTGCGTGTATACATTGACCAGATTCGGCATCGCCTGCTTCCCATACACCACACACGCACGTGGTCGTGAGGGCGCGGACGAACCAAGCGCCACATTGTCAACTCATGAATATTAATTTCCCTTGTTGAACAACTCACCAATAAGATAGAGGTGCTGCAAGACGTTTTCATTCTTTCATTGGTAGGTTTTAGTAAAATAGAGGCAGTACGATAAGATAGAGGTGCTGCAAGACGTTTTCATTCTTTCATTGGCAGTTTTTAGTACCGCAAATAGTGGCAGTACGTATATGTTCATACAATAACAATCACTTCGCGTTCTTCATAGGGCCGGTGTGGCAGGTAATTCTGTCCCCCCTGGTAAATGTGTCCCCCGGACAGATTTACCTGGTCGTGACCCGGTAAATCTGTCCGGGGGGACACTTTTACCTAGGTAAACCTGTCCTCCACGAGGTAAATTTGTCCCCCTGCACGACGTTAAATGTGTCCCCCTGGTAAATGTGTCCCCGTGCAACGTCACAAGTCTAGCACCCAGACTGTTTATTAGTAAAGTTATTAACTGTTTTTGCGCGGCAAAAAACTCCCGTTTTGATGACGACTTCGGGAGCGAGCGATTTGCATGGTGGGCGTGCGCGCGAGTGTACCGCACCTACGGAGGGCGTGCGCGCTAGCGATAGGTTGAGTATTACTACGCGTGCCTTTTCTGCTTTCTTGCAGAAACATAGATCGGTTGATTAACATCTAAACGTTAATTTCATTTTGATAATCATTGAGGAAGGGTGGAAAAATCTAAAAATGTATACCCTGTAAGCTGAATTTATTTTAATAACATCAATATAACAACTTATGCGTGCAAAACCAGGGGGGACAGAATTACCTGGAGGGGACAGAATTACCTGGAGGGGGACAAAATTAACGGGACAGGGGAGACACTTTTACCTAGGTAATTGTGTCCCCCGGACACTTTTACCGGGGGACAGAATTACCTTCCACACCGGCCTTATGTTCGCTACACTCACATGGTTCCAGAAAGCGAAAAAGTCCTGTGTTCTGTTTCGACAGACATACAGTTCTAGTTTATATTTCTTTTTGACGCCTACATCCCATAGACTTTGTACACGTTTTTTCTCAGCTCCATTGTTGGCATTAATCTTTGTCATACATCCTTGAACGTTACCACAGGTATAGTCCCTATCCGTACCCCCTCACCGGCAAAGGAAGTACAGTTGGGGGTGCGCGGCCACTGCGTGTACATAGAACAAATCCCCTGGTGTACGCGCGTCACACACCAGGAATGGTGCGCGTCAACCAGCGAAAAGTACCGCCCTTGGGACGTCGTTGCTAGGTAAAAGGGCGCCCTCTTTTGGTAGCGCACGGAGCTCATAGCAAAGTTGTGTCCCAAAGAGAGACGTCATCATGACATCATCATGGGTCACGTGACGTCATTTTAAAAGTGCATATTGTAGAGTCCTATATCTACAGAACTGTAAGTCTGATTGGGTTGAAACTTGGTATGTAGGTAGGCCGGGATGTGTTATAGATGAAAATTGAGTTGACGTCATGATCACGTCATCATGGGTCACGTGACGTCATCTTAAATGTGCAAACTTTAATGACTGCCAAGTATTTTTACAATCACGCCATCATGGCACAAGTGACGTCATCGTAAACGTGCATACTTTAAGCCCCTATATCTCATGAACGATAAGTCTGATTGGGTTGAAACATGGAATGGGGTAGGCCGGAATGTGTTACATAAAAATTGAGGTGACGTCATCATGACGTCATCATGTTATTTTATATATATTTTTAACATGTTGATGTCTTTGCCCATATCCTTCGAACGCAATATGCTAAAATCAAAATTCTTTTCGCATTTTAATGTTAGGAAAATGTATAATGCACACATTTTTGCAAAATGTGTGACGTCATGATGACGTCATCAAAAATGCGAATTTTTAAAACACATATAAGGTAATGCCCAGTCGTCATAAAACTTGGTGGATGGGTTGATAATAGTACTAGTACACAATATCTGACTTGACGTCACGATGTCGTCTTCGGTAGCTTTTTTACGATTTTTAAAAAAATTTACAATTTTATTCTGCTTACAAAATGTAGCACTTTTATTCATTCGACTGGCTTCAAACTTGGTACAGACTTAAACCACAATAAAAATTACGAGCACAGACAGCTGTCGTTCCTTTATTGGTATAGATACAAAATCAGAAGCCATGATGATGTCATAATGAGTCCCAGTGCATCATCTTAAAGGTGTACAGTCTTTAAGTCCTAAATCTATATGACAAAGACGATAACAGCGCATAAAATAATTATAATGCATTTAAAACAGCAAAGACATAACCTCATTTAATTGTCTAGTCTTTCTTCTTTTTTGTCGCTTAAACCCCGTAGACTTTGTACACGTTTTTTCTGTAGACCACTTTTGGCATTAATCTTTGTCGTACGTCATTCAAAGTCAGCATTGCCATAGTCCTTATAGCAAAGTTGTGTCCCGAAGAGTGACGTCATGATTACGTCATCATGGGACACGTGACGTCATCATGAACGTGCATATTTTGAAGTCCTATATCTACAGAACTGTTAGTTCGATTGGGTTGAAACTTGGTATGTGGGTAGACCGGGATGTGTAATAGGTGAAAAATAAGGTGACGTCATGATGACGTCATTATGTGATTTTATATGAATATTTGATTTGTTGGACCTTGAAGCCATATCTCACGAACGCAACATGCAAAGCCATAGTCTTTTTGTATTTAGTTTGTTATGTAATAAGTTTATGCACAAAATTTTGAAAAATGTGTGACGTCATCGTGACGTCATCAAAAATGCGATTTCCGAAAACACATATAAGAGAAAGTCCGATCGTCATAAAACTTGGTAGATAGCTAGATAATGGTACTAGTATGCAAAATCTGAAATGACGCCATCATGACGTCATCAGTTGATTTTTTTACGATTATTTTTAATATTTACAATTACATTCCGCTTTTCAAATTGAACACTTCCTTTCATCGGATTGACTGCAAACTTAATACAAACCAGGACCACAATGACAAAATGTGCATTGACAAGTGTTGTAAAGATGACGTCATTACAGGGCATGTGGCGTCATGTGATAACATTTTATTTTAGACATTATTCTAAGCATTTTGAACAACCTTTAACTGCATGAAGCACTCTACAAAGTGACTGCAAAAGGACCAACAACACATAAACATTTGTAAAATGCGAAAAAGCCCTGTGTTCTGTTTTCAAACAGACTAGCTCTTGTTATCATTACCTTTCTGACAGTACTTGCCAGTGTAGCCTTTCTCGCATTTGCAAGTGTAGCTTGAACCACTTGGCACGCAGATTCCTCCATTCAGGCAAATGGCGGCTTCACATGGCAGTTCTGCAGTTTAATCCAAATCATTATTTTATGCTCAGCATTGAGTTATTATTTCCACGTTAATCAAAATCAAACACGTAAGCACAACTAAACTGACGTGTGGAAAAGTGATGAATGCGTAATGTCAACGTTATGTGATTTGAGAAAGAAGTTACGATAAAACTTACGGTTTGCTGGTTTCTTGCATACGCTGCTTTGTGCGTTGCTCGTACAATGCTGAGAAACACTCCATTTGTCAGAGTTTGACTGCATGTTCGAGCACAGCCTGCGACCAGAGGGCAAGTTGGAACTCCCGAAATTCAAGTAATCTGCCTACAAACACAAAGAGACAGTCCCGTCTTTGAGATTTCAATAAAATAGGTCCTTCAATTGGTCTTTCGATGTTAACCTGGCGACTTGTATCATTCAAATTACATGGGAAGATACTTTAAATTCATTCAAGAACACATTTGGGTTCCATTCTAATTTAGTCCAGTGTAATTCGCAATATAGCAATTTGTTTCGTCCAAGTTTCGAGGAATTCGTTATCAAGCGGAGATTGGTGTTGGATTCAGAAAGCAAATTTGTTTGTTTTTGTCAGTCATTTGATATGTGGTCAGATAAGTTTGAAATTCTTCGACTTTCTTTTAAAAATTGAGTACATTTTTAAACCCCAAAACATTATTACGCATCGCTTGTGTAATAACAAAACAAGTGTATTACCCCTCCACAAGGTAAATTTTACTTAATAATGCGTAGCCTGTTAATAAACGCGTTGTTGTTTAGGCCTACTCCGAGTTGGGCAGAAGTTTACGCTGCATGTCGTCACCAACACCACGAAGTAACACTCTCCCACATACCAGTAATACTACCAGTCGGAGAAAACGGCATCTAAAGTTGAACGCCTTCTAAAACAACACTGCGTCAAAACGGCAAAGTATTTTCAGTTGATTTTCTCGTTGTGGACACTTGATGAGTTGAATTTATAAAATCTGCTGTTTTTCACCCGTTTGTGTTTTAAACAAATACAAAGAGAGTATTACTTCTTGAAAACATTTTTGCTCACATCTGAGGAGAGTTCCCGCCATGCATTGCATTGGTAAATGAACTTGAGTGTTTACTTCGTGAAAACAAAAATTGTCACTTTTAAGCAAAAGTTGTTATGGATAATTAGCGTAATTATGAAAGTAAAGCTCTTGAAGCTTTGAAACTTCGTGCAATGGTACGCCTTGATGAATAATGCTTAAAAATGCAAAAAACTGAACATCGAAAAAATATGGTTTAACACGTGGAGTGTTACTTCGCGGTGTCAAGTATGCATCGCATTGTAGGGGCAAGCGGATTGTTCAAGATGGAGGACGAACGAGAGACTTTGACGTCGTGGAGATTGGCAGAACTGGTCCCCATGTTTAAAGGAAAGTTTGAACTTCAAGAGTTTTAGCTCACGACATGTAACCTTCTACCCATCGTAGACTATTTTGGTGTGGTGAACGTGCGATCATCATGTATTCTTAATGCTAATTACCCATGTTTTCATTTTCATTGCTCTTTGAAGAGCAATGACTTAAAAGTCCATACTCTCATATAAATAGAGTCAGTCTGTCAGTACTGTGTATAATGCAACACAGGTACCGAAGGCATCCAACACGTACAGCGAAACCGTTGTGTTGTGGAGTCGCGCTGTAATAATGTGCGTAACCATTTATCAATCAGATTTTCGTGTGCAAAAAAGATCTAAAGGGCAATAAACTGGCCAGTCTTTGTAAATAGAAGGATATATTTGAGTGGTCGGGCACAACCCAACCACTCTTGGGAGTTGTAGCGATATTTTTTTTTCTTTTTTCCCTACTGCACGTTTACGCAGGTTTTCTCCTAAACGGTTTATAGTATGGATTTGTAACTTGAAATATATATCGACCATCAACCTAAGTGGTTATAATGGCGTCATCGGGTGTCAAATTACAAGTGATTTCAGCTGGAAAAGTGACCAATTACTTTCACTTATAAATCTTGAACTCAATAATCAATGATGGTGGTATTCTGTAATCAGACAGACCATTTAACTGCATAACATTTTTTGTCGTGTACGTAAACTCGCTTGACCTTTACTTCCGGGTCTACCAGAAGGTCAAAGTTAGGTGAATTCAAAATGAAGACGTTCGCCTGAAGTCAAAACAAAGCACAATTTCTTCTGAGCGGTTAACGGTATGATCACAAAACCTTGTGCGAACTTGTACCATGTTTCGAAGATGTTGTAAATTTTGTTACGTCATCACGACGTCATCAGATATCGAATAACAAGCGATTTAAGAGCAAATTTTGACAAAATAGTTCGCGTTATATCTTTTGAACTAAATAGAATTTCGTTTTCGTTCTTTTCGTGAGGTTGTAGACTATGCCGTGAGAAACATTTCGTGTTGCCGGACACAAAACCGCTTGACCTTTGTTACCGAAAGTGCAATAGAAACCGAATATAACTCAAAAGCGGAAGCATTTTACTACAGACATATATATTATGAAAGTGTTTTGTGAGGAATGCTAGACACAAAAAACAGTGTGATGACGTCATCATCCGAAAGGGCGCCCCCATGGCACATAAAATAGTGTTTGCTTTCTTTAATTTTAAAACCTTAGGTTCAAATTTTGCCAAATCGCCCCTTGATATTCTTTGATTAACCACAGATAACTTGAGAAGGTTTCAAATTCATGACGACATCAGACCGGAAGTTAATTCTATGAGAATTTGCCAACGATCATATTTTAAATTCAATTCTATCATTTGATCCATGTCGTATATCTTAGCCAAAATAACGATACCATTACAATGTTCACATTTTGCTTCCAAATACTGTGACGTCATCAAACTGGAAGTTCGGTGTTATGAATATATACACTTATATTTTCCAAATGTTCATACGTTATTTAACTTTACAATGAACATCCACTCCGAACTAAATCAGTATTCAATTCCCGTTTTTGACTAATGACGTTATCAAGCCAGAAATGACTTGTATGTGCACTTAGGAATGTATACTGAAATTTTAAACATTTATTTAGTAAAAGTTCACGTCTTTTCTGCGTAAAATGGTTAAACAGTGTGGGATTAAAATTTGACGCAACAGCAGCTCTGTCAAGATTACCCTCATAACGACCATGTTCCCTTCTTACTGTCATAAGGAGTACGATTTTACCCAATATTGCCTATTTTTTTCTGAGAGTGTAAGTACAGTTTTTGAAATAATTTACGGGTTTTTTATTGAATAAAAAAAATGTAATCTATTGTTATGACTCTTAATTTGTTGCACCTCTCAATGTGCAGATGGCCATGGAATCAGGCTGAATGTGCGACTCATTTGCTTGGATAGTCCCTTTAAATAAAGAGCGTGGTCTTGGTTCGTGGCTTTATTTTATTTTTAGGAACATCGAAATCACGCATGAACGTTAACAACTGTAAAGTACCATTATTGTGTTTTAAAGGCATGAAAAGACCTGATGAGTTGCAGGTATTTTAAAGGGTGTGTTTTTGTTATTTCAGTATCAACGAATGCACAAGTTTACTCATGCTTTTCCAAGCGATACAAAGCCATTGCCCTGTTACTCCGCCTTAACGTATTGTAGCGGGAACCTATTTGGGCTCTTGTCCTCCGAGTCAAGCAAAACGCTAGAAAGGGGGACACACGCATATAGATTATGACTCCAAAGTAACTGAAGTCTTATTTATTTCGCCCAGACTCTGCGGTCAACTCGCCGCACCGCTATCAAAACTGCAACTGTTCAGCTTCACAAAATGTATTACATTGTAACATTTTGGCGTCTGGCCAAACCCTTCCCGCGTGTCTGAACGAAAGAAACCTACTTATAGGCAGTTTCCGGAGAGCGCGTTAGTAGCCAGACAAACGAACCAGGGCCTAATTTCACGGCGCTGCTTAACAGTTAGCAGAAAAGTTGTGTTTAGCATAGCAGAAAAATTTGCTAACCTTAAGCACTATTTCACGGCGTGTGTGTTAACGGTCGCGCGTGCATGGAGATTTCTATTGTTACGTCACTAAGTTAAGCAAATTTTTCCTCTGAGGTAAGGCCCCCCCCCCAAAAAAAGTCTCCGGTTTCTGGTATGCGCGCGCGTCGCCGTAGCCATTCGCGTCGACAAAATGAAAAAGGTGTTTTTTTCAATTAAAGATGATGTCTCAAAACCGCCAAACTCACTGGTTTGACTGGAATCCTGCTACTGCACAGTTTTAACGTGTTTTTAGATGAGGTTATGATCGAGAATAAGCTTTATGTGGCCTCTCTGGACTCCCATATATTTGCACTAAGCTTAGTCGGGCACCATTTGCAGTCATCAGCCGACATTTGAAGCAAAAAAGTCAGGTCAAAAAAAAAAAAAAGCCGCGTCGCCGCACCACTCTTTTGGGCAAGCTCCATACCAGAAACGGGAGACCTTTTTTTTTGGCCTAAGCGTGCCTTTTGCTGTGCTTATGCTTACGGTCTCCATGAAATAGACGGAGGCTCTGTTAGCAGAAAATCATGTGCTTAGCAGCACCGTCCAATTGGGCCCAGGTCAGCGCACCTGTGACCCAACGCCGGGCCCAGGTCAGCGCACCTGTGACCCAACGCCGCGCGCCAGCAATGTGCTGCCGAAGCCCTCCGACGGCGGCTATTGGACAAAGCAACAAGTGATATACAAAGTGTCCGTTACAGTATACAGTCTCGCAAGAACTCAATACGAATGACCAAAGCGCGAGAATGAGTTTTAAAAAAACAATGTGGTTTTTCAATTCAACCCCAATCCCAACATGAGATAATTTCCCGAAACTTGGTGAAATTTGAATGCTACATTCCCTGAGTTACACTGCAATCGAAATAAAATCTGTTTGTACCCACTTGAAAGTGAGTCAACAGTTGAGCCCAACCATTTTGGGGGAACGACATTATATTGTCATTCCATTTAATGTACATGATGTGTTGTATTGTGTTGAGTTAACCACAAACGTTAACATTATCTATTCGAGTAGGATTCTGCCGGAAACGTATTGTTGAGATTGCCATGATGTTAATTTACGGGCCTCCAGAGTAGGCCGATCACTGCTTACCGGCGATCGATCCGTCCACTGCAGGACCTTATCACCATTGTGGTCCTCGAATCCGAGCCAGAACCAACCACCGATAGCCCGTATTTTACCTGTACGGAACGATAACAAACAAAGGTTAGGGTTAGGGTTGGGGAACATCGGTACTTGGGAACATAGGTATACACCCCGCCCAGAGTCATTGGTGTGTATTTGCCACCGCCTAAAGATTGCCATTGGGATGTTTTAGCAGTGAAACTGATATAAGATGGCTTCAACCCAAACATTGAACAAACAGTGTAGAGGTGGAAAAGTTATCACTTTTGGATAATTGAGGAATTGCTTTGGACTATTAAAAAGAAAATTTGTCAACACTATCAATATATTTATGAGCTGTAGCGACCGATGTACAATCAAACGAATCCTGCTGCTACCATGTGGCAAATCAATTGGGCAAGTTACAAGAATTTGGAGAGATGTAGAAGTTAGGGTAAATACGAATGTTCAAATGCTCAACATCGTGAACTTAATCAACGAGAGAAATCATTAGAATGCAAAAGAAATAAAGTTAGTATTTTTTTGCGGATAGATCATAAATGGAACAGATCCCAAGATCGCAAAAGGAACATACCATAGATGAATTGATTCTCGGCGTGATTGTGAATGCTGGCCAAATTGCCACCTTTGTTTATGCAGTTCTTCTGATGTCCATCAAAAGTGCGGTCCGTTAGAGTCTTGGTCCAGAACAGGTAACAACTGCCCTGGAAGTGATGCCAGCCGGTGTTGCAGGGATCTGCAAAGAAAATTTAAGCAAATTCAATGAAATAAATAGTATTTAAATGTTAGGTGTAGATAATTGCGGCTTTGCGGTTTTAATTTACCAATTTACCTTTTCATGCATTGGTCGTTATGAGGGTAATCTCATTTTGATTAACGTGGAAATAATAACTCAATGCTGAGCATAAAATAATGATTTGGATTAAACTGCAGAACTGCCATGTGAAGCCGCCATTTGCCTGAATGGAGGAATCTGCGTGCCAAGTGGTTCAAGCTACACTTGCAAATGCGAGAAAGGCTACACTGGCAAGTACTGTCAGAAAGGTAATGATAACTAGAGCTAGTCTGTTTGAAAACAGAACACAGGGCTTTTTCGCATTTTACAAATGTTTATGTGTTGTTGGTCCTTTTGCAGTCACTTTGTAGAGTGCTTCATGCAGTTAAAGGTTGTTCAAAATGCTTAGAATAATGTCTAAAATAAAATGTTATCACATGACGCCACATGCCCTGTAATGACGTCATCTTTACAACACTTGTCAATGCACATTTTGTCATTGTGGTCCTGGTTTGTATTAAGTTTGCAGTCAATCCGATGAAAGGAAGTGTTCAATTTGAAAAGCGGAATGTAATTGTAAATATTAAAAATAATCGTAAAAAAATCAACTGATGACGTCATGATGGCGTCATTTCAGATTTTGCATACTAGTACCATTATCTAGCTATCTACCAAGTTTTATGACGATCGGACTTTCTCTTATATGTGTTTTCGGAAATCGCATTTTTGATGACGTCACGATGACGTCACACATTTTTCAAAATTTTGTGCATAAACTTATTACATAACAAACTAAATACAAAAAGACTATGGCTTTGCATGTTGCGTTCGTGAGATATGGCTTCAAGGTCCAACAAATCAAATATTCATATAAAATCACATAATGACGTCATCATGACGTCACCTTATTTTTCACCTATTACACATCCCGGTCTACCCACATACCAAGTTTCAACCCAATCGAACTAACAGTTCTGTAGATATAGGACTTCAAAATATGCACGTTCATGATGACGTCACGTGTCCCATGATGACGTAATCATGACGTCACTCTTCGGGACACAACTTTGCTATAAGGACTATGGCAATGCTGACTTTGAATGACGTACGACAAAGATTAATGCCAAAAGTGGTCTACAGAAAAAACGTGTACAAAGTCTACGGGGTTTAAGCGACAAAAAAGAAGAAAGACTAGACAATTAAATGAGGTTATGTCTTTGCTGTTTTAAATGCATTATAATTATTTTATGCGCTGTTATCGTCTTTGTCATATAGATTTAGGACTTAAAGACTGTACACCTTTAAGATGATGCACTGGGACTCATTATGACATCATCATGGCTTCTGATTTTGTATCTATACCAATAAAGGAACGACAGCTGTCTGTGCTCGTAATTTTTATTGTGGTTTAAGTCTGTACCAAGTTTGAAGCCAGTCGAATGAATAAAAGTGCTACATTTTGTAAGCAGAATAAAATTGTAAATATTTTTGAAAAATCGTAAAAAAGCTACCGAAGACGACATCGTGACGTCAAGTCAGATATTGTGTACTAGTACTATTATCAACCCATCCACCAAGTTTTATGACGACTGGGCATTACCTTATATGTGTTTTAAAAATTCGCATTTTTGATGACGTCATCATGACGTCACACATTTTGCAAAAATGTGTGCATTATACATTTTCCTAACATTAAAATGCGAAAAGAATTTTGATTTTAGCATATTGCGTTCGAAGGATATGGGCAAAGACATCAACATGTTAAAAATATATATAAAATAACATGATGACGTCATGATGACGTCACCTCAATTTTTATGTAACACATTCCGGCCTACCCCATTCCATGTTTCAACCCAATCAGACTTATCGTTCATGAGATATAGGGGCTTAAAGTATGCACGTTTACGATGACGTCACTTGTGCCATGATGGCGTGATTGTAAAAATACTTGGCAGTCATTAAAGTTTGCACATTTAAGATGACGTCACGTGACCCATGATGACGTGATCATGACGTCAACTCAATTTTCATCTATAACACATCCCGGCCTACCTACATACCAAGTTTCAACCCAATCAGACTTACAGTTCTGTAGATATAGGACTCTACAATATGCACTTTTAAAATGACGTCACGTGACCCATGATGATGTCATGATGACGTCTCTCTTTGGGACACAACTTTGCTATGAGCTCCGTGCGCTACCAAAAGAGGGCGCCCTTTTACCTAGCAACGACGTCCCAAGGGCGGTACTTTTCGCTGGTTGACGCGCACCATTCCTGGTGTGTGACGCGCGTACACCAGGGGATTTGTTCTATGTACACGCAGTGGCCGCGCACCCCCAACTGTACTTCCTTTGCCGGTGAGGGGGTACGGATAGGGACTATACCTGTGGTAACGTTCAAGGATGTATGACAAAGATTAATGCCAACAATGGAGCTGAGAAAAAACGTGTACAAAGTCTATGGGATGTAGGCGTCAAAAAGAAATATAAACTAGAACTGTATGTCTGTCGAAACAGAACACAGGACTTTTTCGCTTTCTGGAACCATGTGAGTGTAGCGAACATAAGGCCGGTGTGGAAGGTAATTCTGTCCCCCGGTAAAAGTGTCCGGGGGACACAATTACCTAGGTAAAAGTGTCTCCCCTGTCCCGTTAATTTTGTCCCCCTCCAGGTAATTCTGTCCCCTCCAGGTAATTCTGTCCCCCCTGGTTTTGCACGCATAAGTTGTTATATTGATGTTATTAAAATAAATTCAGCTTACAGGGTATACATTTTTAGATTTTTCCACCCTTCCTCAATGATTATCAAAATGAAATTAACGTTTAGATGTTAATCAACCGATCTATGTTTCTGCAAGAAAGCAGAAAAGGCACGCGTAGTAATACTCAACCTATCGCTAGCGCGCACGCCCTCCGTAGGTGCGGTACACTCGCGCGCACGCCCACCATGCAAATCGCTCGCTCCCGAAGTCGTCATCAAAACGGGAGTTTTTTGCCGCGCAAAAACAGTTAATAACTTTACTAATAAACAGTCTGGGTGCTAGACTTGTGACGTTGCACGGGGACACATTTACCAGGGGGACACATTTAACGTCGTGCAGGGGGACAAATTTACCTCGTGGAGGACAGGTTTACCTAGGTAAAAGTGTCCCCCCGGACAGATTTACCGGGTCACGACCAGGTAAATCTGTCCGGGGGACACATTTACCAGGGGGGACAGAATTACCTGCCACACCGGCCCTATGAAGAACGCGAAGTGATTGTTATTGTATGAACATATACGTACTGCCACTATTTGCGGTACTAAAAACTGCCAATGAAAGAATGAAAACGTCTTGCAGCACCTCTATCTTATCGTACTGCCTCTATTTTACTAAAACCTACCAATGAAAGAATGAAAACGTCTTGCAGCACCTCTATCTTATTGGTGAGTTGTTCAACAAGGGAAATTAATATTCATGAGTTGACAATGTGGCGCTTGGTTCGTCCGCGCCCTCACGACCACGTGCGTGTGTGGTGTATGGGAAGCAGGCGATGCCGAATCTGGTCAATGTATACACGCACACACTTGCGGTTTATGCTTGCTTTGGATGAGTCGGCATTTTTTACTCTCTCTGCCGCAACTCGCGCAAGGCTATTTTTTGCCGACGCCGTGTCAACTGTGTGAACAATTTGACAAGCTGGGAACTTGGCACTGTTGAGGCAAATGTTTACGCTATCATTTAATGGGCAATTCAAGATTATATCTGTACGGATCGATTTGTTAGCAATTTTTGAAAAAGAAAAGGTCTTTTCAACGGAACTTCCGATCTAATGACGTCATACGCCTAAAACTTCCCACACGTCTTAAGTGGGTCTAGGTCATCATATACTTCGACAAACTTCGCCACAGACATCTATTCAAAAAACATTTTTGAAAATTTTCAACCTTTCGCCAGAGGGCGCTCGAAGATTGCATGACCTCATCGGTAAATGATTTGAAAAATCATCAGCAAAGAGACTAACACCCTTAAAAGCAAGTTCATATCTAGTACCTTTCGCCAAGGCCATCGTGGCTTAACTTGCATGTCGGCATCAGACAAAGCAGCGAAAAGGGGAAGCGACTGGAGCGGGAGACCACACACGCGAGTGGGGAAGCCAGGAGGCTTTTCCAATCTTGTCAAGAATTTCTTGTGTGTTTCTTTATTATCTCGATAATTGCTACCCTAAAATTCCAACCAATCGTTAGCCTTTTAGGACACGCGTGCATGGCTACTACCCGGACGCGTCGACGCGCCTGGTTGCTTGCACAACATTTAAAAACAAAACATGCGAGTCTAGTTTTCCACGAGATCATGACCGCGTAATTGTTCTTTCATAATCTTACTTTAATATTACTAATTAAAGTATTGCAAGAAATTATTAAATTTTGAGTGTATAAACTATTTTTTTCATCCGAACTTATAGTAAGTTGCTCTTACGCTTTCCTTACTCACCCTTCTTTCACAAATGGAAGCAACTATGCAAAATCCACGTTATGATTGGTTAACCTTTCAACACTCTACTTATTTGTATAAACAATAGGAATGATTCCACAAAATCAAGTTAGAAAAGGCCTCGTGGCTTCGCCACTCGTGTGTGTTGACTTAATCTTTGCTCCAGTCGCTTCGTGATTTCGCAGCTCCGCCGATCTAAGCCATGGCCTCGGCGAAAGTCAAGTATACGAGTCTATTTTGCATGTCAGGGGGCGAACGCCCCGTGCAAAGCAGTGAGTATCCGCACCTAGCAGTCACACGCTGGCTTTCGCAATTATGAGTCTTTTCGTGAGAAACTGACCCAAACTTGTCGATAAAACAACGTTTTCATGAAATTTGACACGTAAGTAAGTGGCATTGTGGTAGTGTGTCTTTATGTGCATAAGGTTGATTTCGAAAAAGCTCAGACGAGGTTATGCTGTAACCCCATGCAACTTGTAGCCCTGCAAATTGTCGGAACCCCATGCTAATTGTTTAAATCCAAGGCAACTTGTTGTTACCAATCGCAACTTGTTGTAACCCCAGGCAAATTGTTGTAATCCCACGCAAAGTCTTGTTACCTCTAGTAAATTGTTGTAACCCCAAATAAATTGTTGAATTAACCTCCTGCAAATTGTTATAACCAGGGAAAATGGTTGTAACCCCAA